CGGGAAGCCGAAAGCCAGAGCCTGGAGGCGGCCCTGGGTCCTCGCCCCTGCAGGATGGGGGTCGGAGCGCCTTCCCCGACTTCTCCAGACGGCGGGCCCCAGGCCTGGGAGGGCTCTTCTCCGCGGCCAGCGGGGTCCTGGTCGGAGTCACCCGTCCTGCTTAGGGTCTCGTGCGCTTGTCCCAGCCCCACCCAGCACGTGGCTGAGAAGGTCAGACTGAGGGGATGTGGGGGAAGGAGAGAGAAGGCTGGGCCCGGGGAGTCTGGAGCTTAGCCTGGGAGGTGGGCAGGGGTAGGCTGCAGTCACACCCCAGATCTTCCGCTTCCTAGCCCTGCAGCTTTGGGGAGCTTCTTGGGAGCTTCTCCTACCTAAGGGTAGGAGATACACAGGCATTAGCACCTGCTTGGCAGGCCCTGGGCTCTCTGGGTCCCGGCTGTGTGCACCTGGCCAATGGAAGACACCTGGGGGCATGGCATGCAGGTGGAAACAGGTTCCAGGGCAAGGCCGTCCCCCAGGGTAACAGAGGGAGCCAAGCCCCCACTGAGAGCGCAGACTGCATGACCTCTGCCCAGAGCCCTTCACCTCAGCAGCCTCCTCCCCAGGCCTCCTGGCCCCTCCCAGATGACTGCTCCCACCCTCCACCCACTTCTCTCTGGACTCACTGTTTCCAGAGCATATAGTCCCCTGGGATGATGCTTGCATTCATGTTTGTTTCCTGCCTGTCCGTCATTGAGGGGTGACGTGCCCAGTTTGTGCTGGAGGACAGTGCCTGACACCAGAGAGTGTCCACTAAGTATTTGTTGGGAAGGACTCCCACCCAACACCTGGGGACCAACAGATGGCGTAATGGACTCCCATGTAGTCGACTGCAGCTCAAGTCCCAGACCTGGCAGCATAAAACTCACGTTGGGCATGGGACCAGAGTTGGCACAATGGCTATGTCACTGGACTCCCATGTAGTCCCCTGCGGTTCGAGTCCCAGACCAGTGGCTTAAACTCACGCCAGGCATGTGTGTGTGCCCAAGATCCCGAGAGGAGAATGGAGAAGGGATTGCGGTGTGGCCATCCCCCCTGGGGGATGATTTCTCGCTTTCTGTCTCTCTTTCTGGCGAGCACACATGCCCTTTAGCAAAACCTCTCAAAAAAAAACAACCAAAAATCTCACTGGGCATTGGGGAACCAGCAGGTGGCGTGGTGGTTAAGGCACTGGACTCCCACCTTGTGGGGACATGCTCGGAGCAAACGGCACCGGTCCCCTTTGGCTATGGCAGGACCTTGCAGCTCGTTGTTTCCTTGACCCTTGCTGCAGGCAGAGCAAAGGGTGGAACTTTCTAGGGGCCTTCCAACAGACACAGCTGATGGAATTCAGAAAATATCCTGGCCCCAATTAGCAAAGTCCAACCCTGCTCTGCCTCTGTAAGATTGTTTAGTCTTATCAATACCCCTTTGATTTTTTTTTTTTTTTAGAGGTTTTTGCTATAGGGCACGTGCTCTCGCCAGAAAGACAGAGACAGAAAGCGAGAAATCACCCCCACGGGGGATGGCCATGTCACAATCCCTTCTCCTCCACTCTCCTCTCGGGATCTTGGGCATGCATAAACACACACACACACACACACACACACACACATGCACGCACGCGTGCCCGGTGTGAGTTTAAGCCACCGGGTCCGGGACTCGAACTGCAGTCGACTACATGGGGGTTCAGCGCCAGCCATTATGCTAACTGCTGTTCCCTTCCTCTTTTTTTTTTTTCCAATTTATTTGCATTCATTCACTGTACATCTTTACAGCATACATAATGAGATTTTCCATCCAGAGTACACTGTATATTGTCTCAATCAAGCACATCAACAAACATGTTATTATTAGCAAATGATCTTCCATTTCTTGTTTTCTGTATGTTTTGCTTTTTCTCCCCCATCCTTGGTTCCCTATCTCTTACCGTCTGCCACCTCCTGTTCTCCTCCCACACTGTCTCTGTTATCTATTTCTATACCATTTTCCCCCCCACATTTTATTGAATCACCAAAGACCCTAATCAATCCGAATACCCTCCTAGCAAACACATGTGACACACACATTTCCATGAGCACAAGTCTAACTTTATGCATCCTATAAAGTAGCACCTAACTGGGGCTACATATCCTACTGCAGTCATTGAATAGATATATTTTGTTTTCCTGAAACTTTTTTTTATAAC